CCGTCGATTGACTTGCGGATCATGGCGTTTTCCAGTACGAAATCCAAGATTTCGACGCCGTGATAACGGAACGCCTGGCACACTGCCGTGTGCAAGATGAGATCATGGTCAAAATTTTGGGAGTACTCCAACGCCGCTACTCCTTCGCGCCGAACCCGGAGTAGCAACTTGACCGCGTTCAAATTTCCAGTGCAAATAGCGATGTGAAGAGTGGAAGCCCAGATCTCACCTCTGTCCCAGCCCCCATCGCACTGGCACATGTTGCGGGCCGGCTTGTTAGGCACATCCACTAAGACGCCCTGCTTAAACAGCCACTGCATGGTGTCGTTCTGCTTCACTCTGATGGCCAACTGTAATGCTGTACCCTTCGTGTTGCGGTGAGGAGCGTAAGGGATGTGGCGGTCAAGATCGGTCCGGGTGTCGAGGTCTGCGCCCCATCCGTTTGCGGTTTTCATGACAGGAATAGAGCCCATTCTCGCTCCCCACATCAGAGCGCGTATCATGTTGCTGCAGTTCTTTCCTTTGTAAAGTTGCTGCTCATAAAAGGAGCAGAGACGGCGCGACGTCCTGGCCAATTTGGCGAGGGCACAAAGTTGCTTCTTGTCCTTCAACGTGTCACCGATGAGCATGTGGACCTCAAGAGGGAGGTTCGTGAAGGGGGAGCAACCATCGGCAGGAGGGGCGTTGGGCGAAGGCAATTCCTTGGCCTTCTCCTTCGTCGCTTGCGCCTTCTCGGCTCGGGTCTTTTTCGCTGGCATCTTGGCTATCTCATCGGGTTAGCTGATCAAGCTTTATTGCGTGGTCAAGAATAACACATCTCTTACCGGGAAAGGGACCGGAAGTGTCTTGAAATACGATAGGTCGGTTGCAATTTGTATGATGGTAATCGGATTGTGTGTTCTGTCGGTGTCGCAATGCGAGGGTTATACTTTCAAAGGCGACTAGGGGCGGTGAGGATAAGGATGAATGAAGAAGAAAAATTAGGTAGAGGTGTAGGTCCTCTTGGGAGATGGAGAAGATAAAGACGAAATGACCAGGCCCAAAGATGTCCAGTAGAGGATGGTGTGAGCGCATTAGTTGTGGTGGATGGGAGATGGCAGTGAGTGCGCCAGAGGAAAATCTTCAACCGTTCACCTCACCCGCCCCTTTCGCGTCCGCCCCACCGTCTGAGTTCAACCTGAACACTCAAGTCCATCCATTCCCTTTTCAAGCCGTCGCGCCACTGGTTGGTAATTTCTTCGCCACAGAAGCTGCATTTTTTCATCCCATGTTTCCCTTCGTGATGTGGCTTGTACGATGCACCTAGAGAGCGGACTTCTTATCAGACCTTCGCCCTTTCCTCCACCTGGAAGTGAGGCCTGGAAGCAAGCCGACGGCGTCGATCGCAAAGTGAAGGGAACATGCGGGCGGTGTACACCACTGGGAACCTTCATCAGGGCAGAGTTAGGACGGCCTGAACAGCCATACTGGCCGTTAAGTGCTTCCTATCATCGAAGGTCTCGGTGTCTGACTGGGCTCAATCTTTGTCGTTCCCTTGATCCCTTCGTTCGTTATTGATGTTCCTATCACATTTGGCCACGGCCGGGCTGATGAAACTGAGGGATACAAGAACATTGAGTTGCTTATTGTAGACACTAGAGAGCAACGAGATGGATACTTCGAAGGTGGTGTTGGCGCGCAGCTGGGGAGGCGGATGGCCGTGTTCGATAGGCAGAATGGTGGCCGCAGTAATATAGTAATATGAATCCGGTTGAAGTATTGACGATTGGACTTGCAAGAGCTGGCCGACGCCGCAAGTCGTTTCTAACACCTAGCAACCAGGTTTTCGCATTGTTTTGCTGCTTGCCATAGCTTCTGCTGGTGCTTGTCGGGTTTGTCAGCGGACGAGTTGCTTTTTGCCGCAAAGGACGGACTATGGGCGAAGAATGCGTGAAGCAGTCGAAGCTGGATCAGATGTTGCGGTCGGACTGACATGCACCTAGAACTGCTTGTCTGTCGCATAAAAGGGAGCGAACAAGCCCTTGATGGCACTGGAGGTAGAGCCACACCATGACCCTTCGGCCCCATCAAACGGACTGGTCGTATGGCGTGACAGTGATGAGCCGGCTGGGGTGAACAGGAAAGAAAGATGTCGATATGCGCGCGAGAATGTGCCAACATCAAGCAAACACTGCCCTAATTGCACGTTATTCAGCGAATCGGTCCAAACAAGCTTCTGCGTGAAATTGGCAAGCGATATATGCCACCGTAACTGATTCAGCAAACAAGACATTATAGGGCGGGCAGCGCAGGACATTGTGACGTGGAAACTCGCTCAATACACGCCCTGACTGACCCAACAGCACAAGTGGGAAAATAAAAACAAGGATTGAAACAGACAAACTTCAAAGCAAAAAACTTTTAGCCTGGGCATCCCCGATGATACCCAAAGGTGAAGCATTACGAACAAAAGGAAACAAAAGAATTATGTAACCAGAGAACTTCAAAGCAAGAAACTTTTAGCCAAACCATCCACCTCAGTACCCATGCGTGAAACTAGGAATATGCCCAGGCCCGCCGATCCCCCTTGCCCTAGGATTGAAACACCACCATCCCTCCAGTTCCAGCTCCATCCTCTTCACGGTCGTCTTGGCCCTGCGACGCTGCTCATCCTGTAAGCAACCCGGCTTCGCGTGCTTCATCAGGACTCTCAACAACTTCACTGCCTCAAAGAGAACGATGTACTTCTTCGCCGTATCCGCCCTCTCAGCCACCTGGTACCGAATGACCAAATCCAATGGGGTCTTGCCGTCCCTGTCTTTGACTCCATCGACCGAGGCACCATGTTCCAACAGGGCAATGATGATAGGAGTGCTGGCGGCCAGGCGCTTCTCGATTGGGGAAGCGATGTTCTCGATTTGACAAGTATAGAAGTCGAAGTTTGGGTGACTGACACGAGACGCATTATCGTCGGGATAGACGGGGAGGTTGCACCGGGTAAGAGCATGGAGGACGGTTTCGGAGCATGCGCCGGCTGTAACGTTTGGATCGGCACCCAAGTCCAGGAGGATACGGACGAGCTCGATGCGGCCCTTGGCCGCGGCCCGCTTGAGCGGGGTGTCGTTGGTGTACCAATGCGGGTTCCTGTAGATCGAGTTGACGCAGTCGGGATCTTGACGCGCTAGTCGTTCAAGGAAACGCTTCCGGCCGTCAAACCATTCACTGCTGGTCGGCACGTCGTTTGGCGGTTCCGTTGCAAAAACAGCGGCATGGACGAGGGCCCCTTCTAGGCTGATACCTGCCGTGCGGTAGACCTGTGCTTGGGACTCGGTCATCTCAAGGCCCAAGTCGAGGAACATGGTGGCAACCGCCCATGAGCCATTGAGCGCAGCGTAGAAGACGGGCAAATCAGTGCGAGGAGCAGACTCGATGACGTGGGCTCCAGCCTTGAGCATCTGTTGTATGAACACAGGAGGGGCGACGGGAGAGCAAGCGGCGTAATGGAGAGACGTGAATCGGGATTGGATGGGAGCGTCCAAGGAAGCATGGCGCCCTACATGTCGCAGAATCTCGAAAAATATGTCATGTTGACCCGCGGCCGCTGCTGTATGGAGGGCGACAGGTTCGGCGTTTCCTTCCAATGCCCCACGGTCAATAAGAAGTTGAGCTGTGGACGAATGATGACGGCACAGCGCCAGGCTAAGCGCATCGTGGTTGAGGCTGCCGTGATTTTGGGAAATGCGTCCAAGATCTGTCAAGAAGCCTTGTGGAATCTGTGGGTCCACGCACTTGCACAGGTTCTTGGAGGGTTCGTGTATTGAGGCTCCGTGGTCAAGAAGCCAATTGACAGCAGCATTCTGACCATTCATGGCGGCAAAGTGAAGAGGGCTGCCCTTGCCCGGCCCCGTGAAGATGCCGGTTTTGGTTGGAAAGGTGTATTCCGGGCCTAGTGGGTGAGGCCCCTCAGCCTTCACGGATGCGCCGTGAAATAGAGCCTTTTCCATCAAGGGGATCAAGCCGTGGTAGGCACCCCATCGCATGGCCCTATCCGGAGCGCCATCTTGTTGAAAGAGGATGGGCTCGTAGGTAGCGCGAATATGACGAGATGTTTGTGCAAGGGATACAAGTGCTAATGTGAGGTCTTCGCGGTCGACTCTGGTGATGTCCTGGAGATGCTGAAAGATGGCCAGGTGAAGCTCATGGGGGAGGTACGAAAAGCAATCTTGATCCATTGTGAAGTGTGTTGGGGTCAAATCGATGTGCTGATGGAAAGTGATTAGCATACCCTCGGAGGACATCAAAGACGAGATATGTATACTTCAGGGACATACCTGTTGTGCCCTTACCGTCGTCAAGGGAGGTTGACGGCCTGGCGTGTCACCTGATGGCCCTAGAACATGTCATCGACCTCGTGGACGATCGTGGGGTACCTGCCAAGGGCTGAATTAGGTATGGATGTAACCCTGCCCAGCCCCGCTGCTGTCAGTGCCCCGCCCGCGGCCCCGGATTTTAGCGTCCGATTCGATATCGGAAAAACGCCCTAGCACCTTGAAGAGCTAGATCCAACCACACAGCACTGAGCACCCAATTTCGTGTCATTTTGCACCTTCCAGGGCATTTTCTGGGCAATTTGACAGGCAGAGATTTCATCCCCTAGACACCTGTCATACGAGATTGTGCCGATCATTGAACAAATTAGAGCCGTCCATGTTGTCCGCGTGATCAGCTCCCACGTGTAAGACGAAATTTTTGATCGGTGCTTGGTGTTTCGTCTTTTGGAGGTCTAGCGTCTGGTAACCTTGCTTCTTTTGACATTTGCCGCCTACCGCTACTTCTGAACGTCCATGTTCTGAGCCGCTGCTGGCCGACTTTGTTCCTCACGGATGCGGGCATCGCAAACACCAGGGAACATGCAGTCACATCCAATCTCATTGCCGCGCCTGATGGTTCTCATGGTGATGGAGTACCTCCCCTGTCTGTGTACCATTTCGCCATTGATGATGTCAGTCTTGCGAGACTTGATGCCATGCGTATAGCCATAGCGCGAGGGGCCAGTCATGAGCAGCAGCGAACGAGGAGGGAGCACAAGCTCCCACGACGGGTGTTCTGGTGACGGCTCTTCCACTTTACTTTTCACCTTCACCGTTGCCTGGCTGTTGGAAGCAATCGTGGCGGACTTTGCGTCGGTACCAGATACGCCCTCCAATTTGCTTTCGGATGCTGACGACTGGAGAGACCTTCTAGGCAATCTCATCTTGCGGGCGTCGTTTGCATCCGACATTCTGAACACCATGGGAACGGTGCTGCCATACGACAAGCTGTACAGGGCTTCGCCAAACATGGAGTGTGTGTCCACGTGCGGAGGGATGCCGGCGCCAGGAGGGTAGTACTGTGCTGTGAACTGGTCGGGGAGGTAGTCTTGGACAGGCAGACGAGGGAGGAAGTCGGTGATGTACGAAGGCACAGGCGTGAAGCTTGTGTCGGAGGCGCCAAAGGTGGTGTAGTCGAAGTGGTAGCCAAAATGCTGGCTGATGCGTCTCTTGCCGTCCAGGCGAGGGTCGACGGCGTGGAAGGCGGCAATCATGGCGGCCTCCTCATCTTCCGTGATAAAGTCGTGGATGAGCACCAGGCCGATGTCATCCCATCTTTGGATCTTGGGATTCTCGGAAGCCGTGACAGGGACGGGCACCGAAGGCATGTTGCGTGGTGTCGGATAAGGAGGCACGTATTCCAGCCGAGGTTGATGAAGCGTCGTCGTTGATGGAGCAAAATTTTGGCGGGTCTGCAAGCCAAACGCCCGCTAAATTTCTCGGGGCTGTCGTTTAGGGGGTGCTGGTAGCTAAACGCATAGGGCAAAAGTTGGGTGGCCCGTGCAGTTGCGTCAGTCGCCGGGGCAGGACCATCCTGGGAGATGTCGGTCAAGACTCATGGTCGCTTGGAAGAGTGATCGTTTGGACGACAAATCATGGTAAAATTGACAGATGGTGCAATTGCTGCAATCGCTGAGATGATCAAAAAGAGAAAAGAACCAATTGAGCGGTGACACAGAGACGCCATCAAACCAACACGCCCAGCAACATCACCGTTGCATCGCGACCATGACGGCTGCAGATTGGCAGGAAAATGCATGGACTGGAAGGATGATTGTTCGGGCTCAACACAGAGCAACATTGAGGCAGAACGAGATGGACAAGACCAACAATGGCATATCGGGTCGTAGAGAAAGGCCAACGAAGAACAAGACCCGTCAGGGCCACGATATGACGGGATGAATGAAGTCCGACAGAAGCTGTTGTTCTGGGAAAGAACCACCTCAATTTGCGCACTCCGCCAAAACTAAGACAGTTTCCCCCCTCTAGACGTGCGTCGCCCATTGGCATTGGGGATGCAGGTCTTGCCTGACAATTTGCACAGCCATGAGGATGCTCCATCCGCGGCTCGTCCGTGCTCATTTGCAAACGTTATGTTCCTTCCACTTTCGAAGAATAGACAACAAGGTGCTCACGCCTGGACACATCGCGACTTCCGAAAATGGAAGTCCTCAATTTGTGGGGCAATTTGGTGGAGGCACAAGTCGAAGAGGTCTGAAAACAACCAAACAACACTACCCACGGTCAATACGCAAGCGGCTCCCATATTCAGTTGAACGGACCTGTTAGGCATCGTTCAAATAAAGGCATTTCCAGTTCCGTGTCATCCCTCCAATTGTTCTGCGACGGACTTTGATACCCAAAGTCTGGCGTATTGGACAGTCCATGTTCGGTTTATTTCCTCGACCCCATCGCCTGTCAATCCATTCGAAATGGACTGATGGCATCTCGATCATTGAAAGAAGCAACCTGAAAGCGACTAAGGACATCGCGTCAACCAGTATCGCACACTCCAAGTTCAATAACACTGCAATGACAGACAAAGTGGCGAAACCCAGTCACCACCAAGATCAGACGAACCTGTAATGGAATCACGGTGAATAAGAGTGAGCTCCCGGTTCACAATAGCAAAGAAAATCTCCAGAATAGCAAGAAGGAAGAACTGCCCGAAAATCGGCACGAAGTCGACTCAGGTCCTTGAGGCTCCAGACATCCGAGTCACTCCCGTCCTGGACCTTCCCATAGTAAAGAGCTCGCACCCTCCTCGAAAGTCCAAACTGGCAGTAATACCAGTCCGGTCATCGGCGTCCGCGTTTGTCAATGGCAAGAACTTTCCTCTAAGAACCCACACACGTCAAAACCCCCCCGCGCCGTCTTGCCATAAATTTCAGGCAACCGGTACGCGCCTTCCAAAAAGAAAGTAACACAAGCAAGACCAAAACCCACAAGAGTGTTTGTTAACAAAGGCAAGAACTTCCTCTCTCCATCTCACAACCCACAACCATCCATCACCCCGCACCATCATCTCGCGATAACCAACAAGTCAAGCAAAACAAAGCAACCAACACGCGCCTTCCAACGCAAGTCACAACATCTCAAGCAAGACCCAACAAATACCAAATAGTCAAGAACGTTGCACTCAAAGCAAGCACGATGCCTCCTCCCTACAACGTGTACCTCAACGCCTTGACTCAGCACGACGTTGTCTTCCAGTAGGTTCCTTCCACTTCCATGTCACTGAGTCCTTGTTCAGTGATCACCGATCACCGATCACTCCTTCCTCACTCCTTCCTCACCCTTTTCAGAGTCCAAGCCACTAACCGTGTCACGCGTCACCTTCTACCTTGTAGGTCCTTCAAGCGTCAGCGTGAATACGAGGAAGCCCAGAGGCAGAAGGCCAAGAGAAAGGAGGCGCGCAAGATGAAGAAGGCTCTCAAGAAGCTGAAGAAGATGTATATCGAGAAGGCCTGGGACGAAGCTGCCGAGGAGCAAGCTGCCATTGAGGCTGAGAAGGAAGCTGCCAAAAAGAGAAAGGCGAGCAATTAATCTCGTCTTATTTCCCGACCCCGCCTGATCCGTCTGTTCAGGAATCAGGATGCGCCTTCCTAAGGTACTCAGGTCTGTCTGGTCTCTCCTGTGTGGCGGTCATGAGCGGAAGATGAGATGGAAATGAAGGGCAAGCAGCAAACTCTGATTGCGATGTCATCATCATGGTGGAATCAAATGGGCAAGAAGGAATGATTGAGGGATGACAGCTGGAGCACTGAATTTTTGGAGCGACGGGAGTTTTGGAGTGTTTTCATGGTTCGAGACTTGGCTACAACTGGGCAGTCTGAAGTTCAACTTGACGAGGCAAGATGGAGCCATCACCCACCACGGTTTGCGCGTCTCAGGAACCGGTTCTAAATGCCAAACGTACAATCAGCATGATGATTCATGGTAGACAAGCACACACATCTCATGGGTCAAGCGTTCGAGATGGCCAGCTTCTGAGCAGATCACCTCCAAACTACTCCATAGCTAAATTACCATACGGCTCCCTACCTACTTAGGCACTTTCCTACCGTGACTAGTGTCAAATGTCTCATTATGCATCAACAAAAGTAACAGTAACATCATAATAACTTCAGGGGCATACCGCACCTGCGTTATCATCAACAACCAATCTTTAACCTTCAGATTCCTCGAAGTACCCAAGTCAACCAACCAACAAACTAAGAGTTAACTTCCCCACACGCACCAAACACTTGGACGTACGCACCACCCCAAGTCAAATATACCATTATTCAACTACAACGCCTAATTTTGAACTAAAACAATAATGGAAGCCTCCTTAAAAACCGAAGCTTATATATGTTGAACTTCTTTTTTTTTTTTTTTTTTTTCAAAACTTCAAATTAGGGAGATATAACGGCTACCTTTCTCGATGTTGCCACACTTAATACGGGCAAGGTTTTGTTCAATTAAAAGCCTTTACTTTATAAAATGAAGGGCATAGGGATATTCGGGACATCCAATAGCCTAGGAGTCTCATTTTATAGCCTTGAATATGACAGGCTGGGGTGCATATGCCCAGACGGCCAAACCTATAAAAGGTAGGACGATGTTCTGCTTGCAAGGCAGAACTCGAAATGCACACTATATAGCCAATGCCAACCTGTGACATTGAACCTAGAACTTAGCGTTTAGTATAGACGTTGCGTTGAAAATTTGGTGCGTATAGGGAAGTTAACTCGAAACTAACTCCATCAGATTGACATCACAAGGCAAGCAAATCGCCTCTCCGCTTTCTTCGACTTGCTTTCCACTTGTGATGCGTTTTGCTGTGCTTGCTCTGGTGTTACTTGCCTTGTGTTCTACACCGGCTTGGATTCTTCTGGAAACTGATTGTGAGTTGGAGAACCGGACCGTGATGGGGTTGCGTGTGATTGTACGACAAGGTTGGAGGTAGTTGCAAAATGGAATCGAAGTGTGACGAACCGTTACAAGCACAGGAGTATTACCGCTGGGATAGAACAATAGGTAACAGAGTAGTAGCCGAAAGGTACTAGTAAATTGTAATAGCTATTGCTTGCTGAAGATCCGGTAACAAGAGGCCTGGGGAGGCGTTGTTTTATACCGGCCTTCCTGGACCCGATCCTTCGTCTCGGGTCCTACCTGATTGGTCATTTAGTCTAGCCTACATAGGATTCTCTGATTGGATCGTAACACGAAGGTCTAGAAGTTTAGAATAGTTTCTACTTCACACTTCGAATGTAACCCATCAAGGCAAGCAGCCCCTCTGCTTGCATCGAGAAATCAAGCCGGTGATGCACAATCTTCTGATCTTGGGAGTCCAGCCCAATGAAGCAAGGCAAATGACTTCACGACAACCCGCTCGACTCCTTGAAACGTTTAGCAGTTTGCCCCGAGACCAAGGGTATAAAGACCATGCCTATCCACCCGTTGCTTCCTGATTCCCTTCTTCCAACATCGACCCAAGCAAAGAACTAAGCAAGAGATTATCCACTGATCAGAGTATTCACCCAGCCGAACAAAACGACACCAGTCAGCAATTGTCCAACAACTGATACGTCCTCGACTGCCTCCCTACCTCCGTTATCCTAGTCTTCTTTGTCTTCGCATTGCTTGCCCTCCACGCGGACCAAAAGCTGACTTCCTGGTTCCTCCACAGCGACGCTGCTAAGGAAGCTGAGAAAAAGAGAAAGGAGGAAGACAAGAAGAAGAGACTGGAACTAGCGGAGATGTTGAGGCAGGAGCAAATTAAGCAGGGACGGGAGAAGAAGGGGAAGGAGAGAGCAGAGCGGAAGAAGAAGGAGGAGGAGGAGGCCAAGAAGGAGGAGGAGGCTGCTAAGAGCAAGTAGACTTGATGTGCTGACTTGGATCAGCTGGGTCAACCTTGGGTGTTCAACATCAGGTTGGCCATGTCAAGTTGAGTGATGTCGCAAGCATCGGTTGTCACACGGACATTGCCCACAGTCCAGGGGTTAGGATCGCAAGGCTCAGCAGAGCCTCAAACGCCTGGAATGAGCCTCATGAATGCCCGGCGGCCGCAGGCCGCGAGGCTCAACCTCACTTTGGCCAGACTCTCAGCTACCAGCATTGGTTACCCAAGCCCCTCTCGACGCCTTCAGGCTAGCAAGCCAACCATCAAACTGCCGACGACGCTAGTAAGCGAGATGAGGCAATCCCCAGTCATCACAGAAGCTATCACAGCAACCAAGCAAGGATCAGAGCAACCGAACGAGGATCGGCGCCAGAAGAAGGAAGTAGAATGGTTGAAGGCACTCAGGAAGATCCACATGTATGAAGATCGCTATATAGATACCCTGAGGCCTCAAGCAACAAGGCTTGGTACGTACTTTAGTACGCACCAAACCTCTTTGGCATAAGAAGGCCTTGAAGCCCAGCCTGGATGGAAAGGCTTCAAAGGATTCAACAAGGCTTTCGAGACCAAAGTAGTTTATTAGCTGAATTGAACTACTGTTCCAAGCACAGAACACTCCCCTTGTCACATCGGTGGAATTAATGAGGGGGGTAGAATGGAGAGACCTAGTGCAAGTAGGTTGTGAAAAGAATGGAATATTGCCTCGAATATTGAATGATGGACTTAGTTGAAATTATGAGGCAAATGCCAAGTTGATCCGGTAGACTCGTGAACTTGCCATGAAACTCTGTTTGCAGCTTGTGAATACTCTCTCAGTGAGCTTCTAGCTATACTTCCATACTTTGATAGAGGTGGATGGCCCTCGTTGTATCTTTAGACGAGTCGGTCGGTGTGTTTGTGCTTCATAGAGACGGGCTGAATGCTTTTTTGTATTGTTGGTACTTGTTGATCGATTGCACTTGATGAAATAAGATGAGAAACGCCATGACACATGCCGCTCTTCAAGACGTCAAAGACCGAACACTCTGAAACATGGAAAACAGAGTTTCTGAATATACGTCGAAGATCCCTTTGCTATTTAAGTGAGCGCACACGTATAAAGATCATTGTCCTGCCGGCTGTCAGCGAATTGCTTCTTGCACCATCGCCAAAGCAAGTAGCAAAGTACAACACACATCTTTTGTTCCACTCCACACGAACCCAAACTAACCAAAGCCATAAACATGGTGATCTCCGACAACCGGTACGTCTGCTGCCCATTGAACCTAAGCGCCTGAACTGACCTCTGTCTTTCAGTGCCGATTCTCAAGCAAAGATGCAAAAGAAACTAGAAGAAGGCCGCAAGAAGGCAAGTGAAGAAGAGGAGAGGAAGAAGAAGGAGCGGGAAGACGAGGAGAAGAAGCAAAAGGAGAAAGAGAGTGCAAGGCAGGCACGGGTTCAGAACCGGTATTTCTTTGCCCTGTTAATGAGGAAGGAGTCATGAGTGTTTTCTGGACAGGTATCTTGGTACCTCAGGGTGCGTGGGGGTTGGAGGGAAGACAGGCGCGGAACACATGCACTTGGGGCATCGTGGATGCCAAGGGAGGTAAGCGCGATGAGTAACGTTGTTGTCAACATCATGAGGTAAGACCATAGGGCTGAGCTGACCAGAGTGCTACTACCTGCTGAGTGAGCTTGGGGATGGAACATTGATTCCCGTTGGTGGTGCTCCCACTGCTCGGTGGAATGGAAAAGATAAGTAGGGTTGTAGAAAGGGAAAAGGCACCGAGAAGGATCGGATTATTGTGTGATGGAACGTGAGGAGAGCCCAGTGCTTGTAAACACCGTGAAGGCCGGGTGATGTGTGATGACCATGTGGGTTTTCTCATGACAGACTCTTCCTTCCTGAAGTCTGTTGAATCTCGGTGCGAATGTGATTGTGGCTTCCTACATCAGATCATGCAGGCGAGCGAGAAAGCTGCGATGTAATGAACTCTCTTTCCCGTGCAAGGTAAGAGGCACCAGTTTATCTGGCAGCCTGTCATGGCGCTACCTAGTTTGTCAAATCGAAATCCTTCGAAGTCAGTTGTCCCTGCACTCGGCGTCGCCAATTCCCGAGTTACTCAGGATTTTCTCGTCGTTAACATTCACGAACCCAAAGACAAAGGATCACAACCATTCAAATTCGGCTTCCAGAACGCTTCTATTTTACAAGAGAGGCAGTGCCTGCAGAGAATGCAAGCCATTCCACTCCTTCGGGAGAACTGGGTTTTCCTCGAAGGCCATAATGAGAATACGGCCCAGGAAACCCAGGCTGCTGGTTTGCACAACGTTGCACAAACTAATTCCCCGGCTGGTGCGGCACAGCTTATCCCCATTCTTCTAGAAAAAGCAATTGTATTTGTGACAAAGACTGGGGTCCGACGTGCTCAGATTGGCGTTCTGTCATTTTACCTAATCGGGTGGACGAATGGCTGGTGCAGCGGTCACAGGCCCGTAGGATGCATGATACGTGGATGATACCAGATTTACGGTAAGTCTCAACTGTGATTGCGGAATCGAGAAGACGCGTCAGTTGACACACATTGGGTGCCTGTTAGCTGTTGGAATGGGCAGCTTGATTCAGTAAATTCATTACAATCTACTAAAAACGTTTTCACAGTCTCTCATTGTTTGAAACTATCCACAGGTTGTTTCCAAGAGGTCGAATGTGCTACTCTAACAAACCGTCGTTGGGCCTGTGCCGGCCTTCAAGGCGGCACAATTACCAAGAAGGTACGGTAAATCACCAACAAAGTTACGGCCCTTTCCTTTCCTCCCGTCTCACTCATCGGCGTAAAATTACACAGCCTCCTAAGCCACAGCCGTTACTGTTGATAACTCAGGGTCTTTCAGGGGTCTGAGCGGGCAAAAAGCTGCCTGGAAGTGGGGGCCCCGCATAAGGCCAGCGCCCCGCCACATCCCGTCGGCGTCAGACAACATCATGACCCCGCGAACCTAAACCCAAAGCATCTTGACCCCATCACCAACGACAAAAAAACTATCACCAACGACAAAAAACTATCACCAACAAGCTGCTATTTTCCCAAAAGGATCAGTCGTCAACATGCCACTTACTATGCCCCTACGAACTGGATTCCTTTCGCACTCGTGTATTTTGAACCGCAGAAACAAGACCTTTCGCATTCGTTCGAGACCCTGGCAGGAGGATCCGAGGCCGGTGTATGTCACGGCACCCTGGGCACCGTCATCACCAATGTAACTCTGCAGCCCTACGGTAATGACCTTCGAGAACATGACAGCAGGAAGGACAGTGCCACAATTCTCGGTTGGAGGGGAGTGGCGCCAGGCTTCCATTTACGCAGAGTCCTAAACCCAAAATGGCTTCGAGCTTCGAGCATTCTTTACATAACTCTCCCTCCGGCATCATTCCCTGTGGGCCCCCCGTGGGCCCCCAGTGGGTATGGCTTACGGGAGGCGCACCGTTCTATCGGTCGGTAGGAGGCACATAGGGAGGCCTGATGCTGGCATCACACGCACCGGCGTTGGCCTGGATCCTTACCTATTCCCTACCACCGGTAAACCAGGAATGAACACTGGGCACTGGTGTGCCTCTCCCCGGCAATGGGGGATTGAGGCTCCAAGGGGTTTGACGAACGACAATATCTGCGCCGCTCGGTTGTGACCGATGTGGGTCGGCTATACTTATGAGTCTGTGAGGCGTAGTTCCTGAGAATACTTCACCGTGCCGCGCCAACTTTCCGGTCACAGCCATGGCACATACAGGCCCCCTTTTTGCGAGTCAACGAGGGCCCTAGCGCCAGTCCACCATTCGTGATGACCTCAGAACTGGGCCTCTCCATTGGTGGTCATCCCGAAGGCACGGACTTTGACAAGGGAATTGGTCCATACTCGAGCCGCGAGCGAGTCCCGGACTGACAACTACCGTCGGGCTTAGCGAACACGGACCCCAACCTTCAAGGCTTCAACATATTGGAATAGGATGTGATGTTCACACCGACATCACAGTGCTTTGCCCTCAGGCAGCGATTTGGGGGCATATTGTCAGTCACATCAGTCATCGTTCCTTCTCCTTACTGAGCGCGACTGCTATGAGGATCGAGGACTGAGGCTTGGATAATCTTGGACATCACACCGACGGCATTCCTGGCATGTTGATAGTTGGACAAATAGATATAAGAGCCGGTCTTGTTGGTCTTTGGGGATAGGTTCTCGACATCACCAACGAACATTCCAAGCAACACAAAGACAACAGCAACAGCAACTAAAACAACAAGTTAACACCTACCTCAACCCTTAACCCCTTCACCCCTCATTACAACCGACACCACCATCATCAAACACTACATCAAACCATCACAATGAAGAACATTATCCTCCTGACCGTCTCTCTCCTCGCGGCCTCCACCGCCGCCCTACCTACTCCCCCCTCCTCCACCTCCACCTCCAGCTCTCTCTCTGCCGCCGACCCGGACTGTGGCCGAAGCGGCTACAACTGCGGAGACCCCGAGCCCTCGGCTACCCCGGTATCCATCACCAGCAGCGGCCGAAGCGGGTACAACAAGCGGGCAGACACCGATGGCCGAAGCGGCTACAATGGTGAAGATGATGACACGGTCTCCGTCACCGGTGGCAGAAGTGGCTACAACAAAGCCCGGGATCAACAGGCCGATACCGATGGGAGGAGCGGGTACAACAAGCGCGCTGATACCGATGGTCGAAGCGGCTATAACGGCGTTGATGAAGATGGTGAGGTATCAGTGACTGCCAATACGGATGGCCGCAGTGGATATAACAGGCGGGCGGACACTGATGG